CCCTTGGTCACCACCGTGATGAGTGGAGAAGACTGATTAACAGAAGTCCCCCAGCAAACATGTCCTCGATCCCATTGTCCAAGAATCAGGCACACACTGTTACGTCTTCCAGTCACCTGCAAGGGGATAGGAATTTTGACTGGCTTAGATGTCACCCAGCTTCACCCCAAGGGGAAGAGGAGGCAAAGTGAGGGTGAACAGCAGAGCCAGAAGCCCTCCCCAGCACAAGGCATGCAGTCAGGATGTGGGGGTGGGAGTGGGGGAAGCACAGGGAGGAAATGAGCCAGAAATCTCTTATAAAGCATAGTTTAAAATAATTTTGGTGTAAGTACTTGATGAGAATTGGTTTCCTAGATCTTTTCCTGGGCATGGGTTTGCAAAAGGCAGTAATTTTGGAGAAAGGTGGTTGGGATATTTAAGAGTTTGCTGGGTCTAAAAGACAGACACCGAGATGCCTAAGATTGTTGTGTGCATTCCTCCTTGCCTCATGGCAGCTGATACGCTGAATTCTTTGTGGCCCCTGTAGAAACTGAGCTGTGTCTGAGGCGCTGAGCCGAGGGTAGTCGTCAGTGGCGGAGCTGGTGTCAGCCCGTCTGCCAGGTCCTGAGAAGGGTGCTCCTCCCGTCCTGCTCTAGTTCTGAGTTGATGGTCAGTATTGGTTCCATTTGCCTCAGAGAGCCACCGTACTTAGGTGCTACCATTTACCTGGCTCTTCAAACACTGGAGTACTGAGAGTGTTTTGTCAACAGCGGTGAGCATGTGCTCACAGAGACCTTGGCACAGTGACCCCTTCCAGGTGGGGAGACGCTGCCCGGCTAGCTGCGGTGCCTGCTCAGGCACCCGTGTGTTTGCAGACAGGTCTCTTTGTTCTTCCAGAACCCTTTCTTCCTGGCCCACCTTCCAGTATGTTTTTACTTGGGAATAAATTTGATACAAGTAGAATTCAGAGGTACATTTCTCTCCAGTTATCATTAAAAGGATCGATCTACGTCGGGCCGTTTGTTTCTGGAAACATTTTCAGAATTAAGGCCATTTGTGAGTCAATATTTGAGGGAAAATATAGAAACAAAGTACATGAAGGAGAGTATGGCCCCTCATTGGTGGCCCTGGGTGTGGCCCCTGGGTGGCAGGGGCTTGCCTGGGAAGCCCCAGTACCAAAAGAAGAGATTTACTGCAAAAATAGGTAGGCTGGTGTGGTCTTGTTGTTGTCCTTCTCTTTATTATTCCTGCGTACGAAAGTGACTGTCTCCGCAATGGCAGGGTCATCTCCAAGTTGATCTTGTTTCATGGTGTCCTCTGCAGTCCTGAGTAGTCTCGTTAGCCCTCAAAATCCAGGCCCATGGGGACCCCGTGTACCCTCAGCTTCTCAGCACCCCCTGGAGCAGACTTCCCTGAGCTCAGGGCACCTCCTTCCTTCCTCTGGACCTACCTCTGCCAAGGCCTCAACTGACAGGTCCCTGACCTGAGTCACTCTGTCAAATCMCAGGGGGAGAGGGAGTGACCTCAGACAGCTGATCAGCTTGAAGGAAAACCACCCAGTGTCCTGGGTAGGAGTGGGGCCTTCTCTCTAGGAGGGACTTTCTGGCCTCTGAGGCTTGCTGGCGGGTGCAGGTGCACTCTGTGCTGCCTCTGTTCCTGGATCCTCTGCATTTCTCACTCACATGGTTTCTCAGTCACCTCCTGTGTAAGAGCTGCCGTGTGTTTGGCTCAGGCTCTCCTGTTGATGGGGCGAGCCAGTTGACTTGTGCACCTGCAGTTGGCTGGAGGGATGACCAGCTGGGCAGCCATAGTGTGGTCTTACATTTTGACAGTTGGGCCATGTGTCCCATGTCACCAGCAGGCTGGCCTGGGCTTGTTCGCAGAGTGTTGGGTGCAAGTACCAAGACCAGTGCAGGAGTAGAAGCTACGAGACCTGTGGAGGTCTAGGTGTGACAGTGGTGATGTCCCTCGGGCCTTATTCTGTGAGTCAGAGTAGGTCAGGAGACTGGCCCCGATTCTAGCAGTAGAGAGTAGATCCTGCTCAGTGGATGGCGCTGACTGCACTGCGGAGATGCTGCTGCACCCTGTGGACCCCTCCCTGCGGTGGTCATGGGCAGGGCTCTGTTATCAGCTGTGGGAATGCTGTCCCCTGAGCGTCTTCTGCATCTTTGTGGATTAGCCTTCGGTTTTCCTGCAGCTTTGGGATGCAGGTAGGAGGTCTCTGTGATTCAGTGTGGATGGTGTGGTCTGTTGATCTCA